AGATGGGCAGACACTGTTCGTAGAGGTTGCATCACAGTATTCTGTGACTGTGTCAGAATGTGCGTCCCTCCAGAAGAAGCCCCCTGCTGTCCACAGAGTCAAGCCCTTGCTCACCCTGTCCCCAGGCCTGCGTCCCACAGCCCCTGATTGATGGACCTGCCAGTATCCTTGCGGATCTTAATCTTGCTAGTACATGAATTGAACTTATCTTCTTTGAAGTGTTCCTTCCATGGAAAGAAATAACACCCCCCAGCCCCACCCCGGTCTCCCCTGTCCTTCTGCCAGTGATTCAGAATCTGCATGACTGACTTAGGGCAGGCTCAGGATGCCTCTGGGTTATTGGCTTTCTACAGGATATCTCACCAGAAAGCAAAACTCTTGGGTGGACATGGGGCTCCTGTTTTCGTGTATCTTGTCAGAGAAAATATTGTAGTATTGTATGTAGCCTTTTAAAAAACCCCTTTTGAATGTGTATTCAGAATCGTTCCAGTGGCTCCTAGACTTCAGCCTTTCTTTCCTTCCTCACTCCAGTGCATCCTCTCTTCCTCCCGTCTTCTTCCTCTCCATTCTTCTCTCATCTATTTCTCCCTGCCCCTATCTCCCTCCCTCTAACTCCATATCAGCAATTTGGCTTCCTGGCAGCTAGCAAAGAGGATTAAAACATATGTTGCCTTCTGCCCCTTTCTTTGCAGCACAGAATCAGAATTTTCCATTGCAACCACACTGGAGAGGGCAGGGGAAGCATTAAACCCTGCAGTTTTCTAGGTCTCCAGGCATTTAGCAACCTAGATTCATTCTGCTTTAAAAATCTCACCCAGCATTCAAAGTAGTTAGAAAAATAGCATCTAAACCACCTTCACTGGGCGCCTGAGATAGAAGTTTCAACATTCTCTTTTTCAGCAAAAAAACTAGTGTTTGGGGAGGATGCATGTTTTGTAGTAAAATCATAAAGAGTCCATGGGAAAGTCAGCTTCAAGGGTCCTGATTCTTAGCCTCAACGTGTCCTACTGAGCTCTAAACTCCAAGGATAGCGTGTGTTTTCAGATATAGGCTCCCCAGGGATCTTAGCAGGAGGGGCCCTCAGTCTACTTTCTAACCAGCTCACCACCTCGCTGACCTAGATAACTGTAAGTGTGTGAGTTAAGAGTGAGCCAGTGAACAGCGCCAGGTGGTGCCTTGAGCTTCGCTGCTGAGTGGGCCCCAGTCCAGCAGCAGGACAGCACCTGGGCACCTGTCAGAAATGCAGTCACAGACCCCACTCCAGACCACCGACATCTGACTGGTGTCCTCCATGCAGCACAATCTGGGTCTTTCTTATTGCCTCCAAGAAAAGGGGAACAGTCACCCTCCCTGAGGCTCTGCCAGGGCCTCTGCAGTAGCTCATTTCTTTGGTGAAATGCAGTGCAGTTTAATTGCCTGTGGCAAATACTCTGCAGTATATTTAAAAAAACAAAACAAAACAATGAAATCTTAGTAGTAGGAAGCCAGACTTTCCATCCTGCCATATTTGTTTGTTGCAGGAAAGGTGAGGTGAGTCTGGAAAGTCACTTTGGCATGTTTGATTCATTGTTGTTTTATCCTTAAAAATGCTTACATTTTCAGCATCATTTCAATAACAGAGGTAATTTTTGTCTTTAGACATCCTGAAATAAATACAGCAAACCCTTGAACAATACAGTTTGAACTGCATGGCTCCTCTTATACATGATTTTTTTTTCCAATAAATATCGTGGGAAATGAATTCATAGTATACCTAACCAAACAATTAATAGCTTAGCTAACAGTAGGCTATTAGTAGCCTATTAGTAGTTAACTGCTTAATTATTACTTAAGTAAGGATGGATCCCAGGAGTACAGCAGTGGGGGGGGGGGGGGGGGGGGGGGGAAGGGGGGGGAAAACCAC